GCCCATGTCCCCAAAATGAATTTGGATGAACTTTTCGAGCAAAAGGATGAAGTTGCTAAGGCTGTGTTGGAGGAACTTGAGAAGGTAAATTTGTGTCCTTATGGTGACTGGGAAAAAAAAAATCCTCGCTCCATTTTAAATTCGGAATAGAACCTGATCAACAGGAAAGAGGGGATTGGTAGGATAGTTGGGGGGGGGGGGTGGTAAAAGAAAAGCAAAGGAAAAAGCTACTAATTCTTTTATTCATATGTTTTCTGTGTATGAATTCCACAATTTTAATTTGTTTCAAACCATTGGGAGCCTGGATTTTGCTGCGGAAGGAAGGTCTTAAACTGCACAAAATCATTTGGAAACTTTTGCTCCCCAAAAGTTTTCTGGTGTTTTAGCACTTATCTGTTTCTTAGTTGGGATTTTATCGTGCAAAGTGCAACTTGGGATTGTTCTAATACTTGTTTCTTACCCAAGATCTTTTGCCTCCCTTACTTTGTACTATTCCTCTGAATTTCTTTTTTCTTTTTTGAGAGAGCATTCCTCCTATTATCTAGCAGTATGCATGGTTAAGTGACAATACCAATTAACCCTTTTGGAAAAGATACTCTCAAAATTTTGAAAGTGGAAATTTTAAGTCTAAGTTGTCACCTTCCTCATTAATTGAAGGAAAATAAGCTTTTCTGCTGGTCTTTTTTCCAGTATGTAATATGTTAGTGAAAAGTACTCAGTTTTACTCTGCTGTCTTAAGTACGTTGTACTATTTCTTTTTATCTCTCACAAAGAATTTAAAAAAATATATTATTATGCATTTGAAATGAGGCAGAACCTTATGACAGTGTCCTTCCATCCCCTCCAGCGCCCCACAAAAAGGAAAAATATTACAAAAGGGAAAAGGGGATGCTACTGCAGTAACTTCTGAGCTTTGGTCTGGTGTGTGTTCTAGTACTTTCTTCTCTGTTCTTTAGTATGTCATTGAAAAATGTTTAAAGTTGATCGTGAATAAGCTTTATTTGTTTTAGTATATATTTACTGGTCAAATAGAAATTGAGGTGAACCCACTGTATGGTGGTTGTTGCCCCCCCCCCCCCCC